GTCTGAGTTCAGGAGCACATTGGTGCTAAAAATTTGAGGTCAGCATAAGCCAGCAAACACTGGCAGAAAACAAAGGAGTCACTAGCCAATCAGAAGCAACCACACCTGGCTAATTTTTGTATTTTTTAGTAGAGACGGGGTGTCACCATGTTGGCCAGGCTGGTCATGAACCCCCAACCTCAGGTGATCCGCCCACCTCAGCCTTCCAAAGTGCTGGGATTACAGGCATGCGCTGCCGTGTCCAGTCCTCTTGTTCTGTTTTGTAGGACGGTGGCTGCCCTGATCCATGAATCCCAAATAAAAGGAAATTAGATCTATCACTAATGATATCCGATGCATTGTTAGGCATATCAGTTTTACTAAAGAGTGTGTATGGAAGGAGAGGATCTGGAAAGGGACTCTCTTAAGATGATCTGTGCACACGATTGTATACAGAGTTTTCAGGTATCCCCAGGGGAATGGTAACCAAGTTGGGCAACCAGGTTATAAAGAAGTATTTTACAAGCTATACTGTGAATGATGGCAGTGCAGGAAACTCAGAAGTTGCTGACAGGAGTGATCCATTAGAAAGAAGGCATTGAGGCCACGTGCAGTGGCTCATGCCTGTAATCCCAGCACTTGGGGAGGCCGAGAAGGGTGGATCACTTGAGGCCAGGAGTTCAAGACCAGCCTGGTCAACATGGTGAAACCCCATCTCTACTAAAAATACAAAAATTAGTTGGGCATGGTGGCATATGCCTGTAATTTCAGCTACTCGGGAAGCTGAGGCAGGAGAATTGCTTGAAAGGGGACCTGGGAGGTGAAGGTTGCATGAGCAGAGATTGCGCCACCGCACTCCAGCCTGGGCTACAGAGTGAGACTCCATCTCAAAAAAAAAAAAAAAAAAGGAAAAGGAAAAAAAAAGAAAGGAGGCATTGAGTTACCTCCCAGCGTGGAATCCTGGAAAGGGCTGGAGAGAATGAGTCCCAAGCCCCCGTGGAGGGACCTGGCTGAATGACAGCGGGGACACTTGCTCCCCTATGACAGTCTCTCACGGCTCTTCCCACTAACTCGGCTTTATCTTTAGTGAACTTTTAGTTTTTATTAGTTTATTGTGCGTCTGTTCAATTACAATGGAAATTCCATGATGAGAGGGACTTTTCTGTGCTGTTCATTACTGAATTACCAATGCTCAGCGTATTGCCTACCATAGAGCAGGTGTTTAATAAATGTGTGTGGAATAAATGATAAAAAATGAAAATACCTGGACACAGATGTACTATAGATTTGATCTGATGCTAAGAACATGTGAGAATTCCTGTGCAATTTGCTTCTGTTTCCCCAACAAAAGGTGACATAAGGGCACGAGCTAAGAGGAAGGGGGCATTGTGGGGAAGAAGTAGGGGAGAAAGTTGAGGCAAGTCTTGAAGGCACGAGCTAGTCATTTTCATTAAAGGGAAAGCAAGCCCGCTGGAGAGACAAAGGAGTTCACGGTCACTGCTAAGTATCCTGCCGGGGCTCAGAAACTGGTGCCCTGACATATGGCACTTTGACACAATGAACTGGAGAAGCAGCCTCAAGATCTCTACCACCCCATCCTCTTCTCTGGCTCCAGTTCTTTGTCTTTCCCAAAGCACAGGAAGAGGTTCTTCTCTGAAGTTCCTTATTTACCTGGAAACCAGACTTCCAAAGAGGAACACAATTGCCCTCCACTCATTCCCTGAAATCTCATTTTCTATCACACGAAAGAAGACTGAGGAGTGCAACCACACCGGGATGGACTTTTCCACAAGACACTGTCTGCCTCTAGGGCTCATCTAAATTCCAAAGAGAATCATTTTCAGGTTAATTTCTGTCTTCTGGGTCCATTCATTTCCCCTGTAAATTATTTCACTCCTACACCCCCATCTCCCCTCTTCCCAATGAAGAGCATACTTAAGCATCAACCAGCTGGCTGTCTTTGGGGTTTTCATGTTTTGTATGATTCCAGTGCACATGTGTGCACATAATAAATTTCTGATGCTTTTCTCTGTTAACCTGTCTTTTGTCATAGGAGTGTCAGCTTTGACCCTTTATGATGGGGAGGAAAGGGATCACCCCTTTTCTGCCTCTACACCCATTTGAGGTTTGTGGCTGAATATTTTAAAGTGCAACCAGTTGGCTCAGTTCTGTGATTGATTTCTGGGGTGTTTGGCTTATGCAGCTGGCATTTGGTGGAGCCATTTATCAAGAAACAAAATGAAGGAGGATAAGTGGGCCTTTCAGGAAAGATAATGAATCAATTTCAAACATGCTGAGTTTGAGGCATCAGTGGGACACCAAAGTGAAGTAGTATTATACATGGGTCTAGTGGAGGGGGGAAAGCAGCACATGGTGAAAATGTGATGGGAGAATTGTGAGTATGTGGATCAGGGCTGAAACTCTAAGGGCACAGCTGAGATGACTGTGGGAGAGGGTAGCATGGAAGAGAAAGGTTAGCAGAACCCCGAGGAGCGCTAATGTGGAAGAGTCACATACATTTATCATGCTTGAAGGTCGTGTCTCTCTAAGCAGATTCTGAGCTCTTCAGGGTCAAAGGCTGAGTCTTGAGCTTCATTCATTCTTAGCCGCTGTCATAGTGCTGGCCACACAGAAGACAATTCTAAAATTCACTGATTTTATTTCTCTGCACTTTCATTTATGAGGATCCTATCACAGTTTATGATTTGAAATGCTGCTAAGGGATACTTTTTTAAAATCATAACTTTCATACAAATATAAAAAGGATACTTGTAAAGATTTGAACTCAGTACTTAACAAGAGAACTAGTAAAATGTTACCACCGCTTCAAGAGACAATCTAAAGACCAAATATACAGCCAAGGATGTGCAAATGAAATTCCTTAAGATATGCAAAACTGACTTTTTCCAAAGGAAATTGAGGCAAAAAGGGTCAACTGTACTTTCACAGGATAAAATTCATTTGCATGTTTATAGGCAAATGTTACTATTTTTCCATTGCTATCAGTTATCCACCACAACTTACAGAGTTGTAAAATAGCTTAAAGTCAAGAAAGGCACAGGATACACCATAGAGTCACATCTGGGATGGCATGCTAGGCTGACTCTTTTTCCTTTGAAGACAACTGTAACCCTCTTGGTTCATTTCAAAATCACAATTTCCCCTAGAATGCTAAAAAGAAAAAGATATTATCCCTACCATTTCTATGAGCGGGGTCTATTACAAAACATAGATGAAAGTATATTTGGTTATTCCTATAACATTTACTAGTTGATTAGGGAGATGAGGCCGAATTGGGGACCCCCCCCAACATAATCTCTTCTAATTGGCATGGGAAATGTTCAGGAATCAAACCAAACCACCTCAAACTCACTCTTGAATGAGGCAGAGTTATAAACAAAATATAGGAGATGTTGAAATAGCCCAGTTGGGTTCATTGAGCTTTCCAAGTCAGAGTGCAGGTCCTGAAGGTGGTGACTGTCTCCCTTGTCCCCTCCTGCTCCACCCCTACCCCCATGTCTGCCCTCCTCTAGCAATGCAGGACCGTCCGACTGTATCCTCAGCCTTCAGGTCAAGCACATGATCCATTTAAAAATGGAAACCCTCCTATCCTTCAGTAGTGAACAAGGGCGACTCTGGTTGCTGTTGGGAAATTCAGCTGCTTTAGTCCAACAGTTCAGGAGAGGATCAGCATAAGAACTTGGTGATGATTACTAGAGAAAATGCTCCTATGATTTCCTGAGCATAATATTTCCCTTGCAATTTTTGAGCGTTCTATAGCAAACCTGCCAAAAATGTGGAGCCTATAAATAGGGGAGAGTGGGAAGAAAAAAATGGGACCTGTCACAATGCCACTGAAAATAGGGAACTAAAAATTTTCCAGAGATGCAAAGTCAAAGGGGGATTAATATTTACGTAGAAATGAAGTAGCAGGTGCATGCGTCATAAAGAAATGCCAAGAAAGGATGAAATTAGGGGATATAAAAGAGAGACTTAAAAAGATGGAAAAATGTGTCAGCTAAAGTCTCATTTTGAAGAAAGTTACAGATCAACAAAGGGGGAAAAAAACTCAGGTACAAAGACTCCATATTATGTCTTGCACTGATTAGGTAGGTGCTTTATATGCACTTCTAAATTTACTCTTCCTGCAAATACTATGAAATAAGTATCACTACCAGAGATAACATTCAAATATTTAATAGCAGACAAATATTTAACAGCACAGACATTAGCCAATCAGAAGCTGGCTAGAGGAGCCCTGCTAAGCCAGGCACTAACCCTCTAGTGATTCCTTGGCTGGATCATGAGGCCAAGGTAGGGGTCAGGGCAGCAGCAGATTCTGTACAAAGGCCGTTCACCAACCTTGGAGGTGTTGCAATATTTACCAAGTAGCACAGCTAAATAGTGTGTGCCAGTTGAACATCAGCTCTGAGTGGAAACCCAGGGCTATGTCCTCTGGGCAGTTGTAGGCTTTCTCTCTTGCCTTTGACCTGTGTAGAGTACGATGCCAGCATTGAAGTCTTTCTTGTTGCTCCTGGCTGTGGTGGTCTGCACTACTCTCTGTGTCTCCAAGCGGAATCCCGCTCCATGGGGTCCCGATGGCTCCCTTCTGAATCTTCGGAGGAGAGCAGGCAGCAGGGACCCTCAATCGCCTTTGCCACTTAATCCCTTTAGCATCCTCAAGATAAGTCCACCGGTCTGTACAAATTTAGGTTCATTTTATTTCTGAACAATGTCAGAAGGGAATTACAGTGAAGAAAGAAAGAGTTCGAGTTCCAGCTTACCTAGACTTCCTGCAGAGCCTCAAAAGAGAAGGCAGGGTTGCAGACATCGTTGTTTCATCTATCCAGCATCCTCTCCTGTGTCTTGGTACTGGGCTGTGAAGGCAGGCTGCCTGGGTTTGCAACTTGCCACTTATTAATGGTGTGACCTTGGGATAAAGGCCCACCTTTCAGAGCCAGTATAGATTGGTTATTAGAATTGTTGGTTTTGTTAGGTGTTACAAAATGTCAGGGTTTTTTCTTTTTTCTTCTTCTTTTAATGTGTAAACTGAGGTATTAGGAGATAGGAAATGATGTGGTGTTTGGAATTTGCTTTAAAACATATTCCAACAAAAGGGCCAGACACATTGGCTCATGCCTGTAACCCCAGCAGTTTGGGAGACTGAGATGGGTGGATCACCTGAGGTCAGGAGTTCGAGACCAGCCTGGCCAACATGGTGAAACCCCATCTCTACTAAAACAATACAAAAATTAGCCAGGAGTGGTGGTGCATGCCTGTAATCCCAGCTACTCGGGAGGCTGAGGCAGGAGAATCGCTTGAACCTGGGAGGTGGAGGTTGCAGTGAGCAGAGATCATGCCATTGCACTCCAGCCTGGGCAACAAGAGTAAAACTCCCATCTAAAAAAAAATTATATATATATATCTCAACAAAAAAAAGAAGGTCTTGATGCAGTGGGTGGGGAGGGGCAGAGGAGACAGGTTGATGACGGTTGAAGAGAGGTGCTAAGTACCTAGGGTGAGGTTCTTGCACTCTCTAAACTTCCGTGTGTTTGAAAATTTTCATAACAAGAGAAAACAAAAAATTAAACAGAAAATGAGGTTGTCATTTCCTCCAGTCAAACAAACATAACAGGACTTAGGATGCACTTTTCCTAATCGCTCCTCTGGCAGAATAGTTTGATCCTCCAGCTAGCTTCCAGCTCTCATCCTGTTCATCTGTTCTCTAGACACTGGCAGGAAATAGGCTCTTCAACAGGGCCTGCCAGGTCCAGTGCTAGGGAGTAGAGCGTTTTGGATTCTATGCCCACATTTTTTTTTTTTTTAATTTGACCAGTTTTCCAGTTGAGATACTTGAAATACAAAGTCTCATGGTGAGGTCTTGTCCTCTGCTGTCCCATTCCTTTTTATGAGCCATCATGGCGTCAATCTTATCTCTAAGGAGAAAAATTGGGAGGAGAGGCCTAGATTCCCCAATAGAAGCAGGAAGGAAAAGTTTGCAGAATGAAGTGTGAAGCGAGGTTTGTGGTTTGAGTCATCAGAATGTCAAGGAGAAAAGAAGAAAAATGAATCATCATCATTTGACCACGGTATTTACAGCTAGCGGAAGGGACAAGAGGAGAAAAAAGCAAGGGAGGAGAAAAAGGAAGAACATCTCAGAATAAAATTGGGGTGGGTGGGGGGAGGAGGAGGAAGACAATCTGAGAAATTGGTTTGGTTGCACCGCTACTGGCCACAACACAAAAATGTGTCCATTCCTGGTTAAAATTAAAAATAAATATGCATGCACGTGTATTTGTCTGCTGTGTTTAATCAGATAGCGAGGCACTCCTTTAAGCCCCTTGAAGACCCAAAGTTGCGCTCAGAGACTGCCCACCTGGAACGGAGCCAGAGCTTGAACAGGGAGCGGCTCAGAGTACCCAAAGCTGCCTAGCTGACCACATTCTTCTCTATGAGTTCCCAGTAACGGAGCCCAGTGGAGGAGACGCTACACTTCTCTGTGGGTGCAGAGGCTAAGGGCGGGGGTCTCCATAGAGGCGTCAGCGCCCACCAGCAGCAGTAACCGCGCACAGGGAGATGAAGAATGCGACCAGTGATACGTCCAACCTGGAAAACGGGCCTGAGAACCAAAGGGCCAACTTCTGGCCATGCATAACGAAGCGGAGCAATCTCAGAGGAGAAGGCACTGGAAAAGCGTTGCAGGTCAATTTTTCCCAGCAGAAACGGTAGGCTGGGAGGGAGACCCGCTCACCCCTTTTGACCCACCCCTGCAGCTCAGCCACGCCTCCTAGGGAGATGGGCAGCCTCGCAGTAGCCCGCGCGAGGATGCAGTGCCGCCCTCCGCCGCATGAGGGCAGCACGGCCTAGCCGGCGCAGCAGTGGCGGCCCCCGTGGCCCTCTTGGCCAGAGCCAGGCGCAGGCCGGCTTGCGGTGCCGTCGTTCATTGGCCGCGGCGCGGGCGCTGCCATGTTGGCGGAAGCGGACCCCCCCTGTGCCGTGGAAACTGGCGGTGGCCGCGGCCGCCGAGTCCGTCTGCGCATCCTCCTGCGTTTTCTCCCTTGGATCTTGGCACTGAGAGGCGGTGGCCGGCGGGATGGAGAAAAGTAGGATGAACCTGCCCAAGGGGCCGGACACGCTCTGCTTCGACAAGGACGAGTTCATGAAGGTGCGCGCGGCCTCCGCTCCCCGAAGCCCGGCCATGGGGGTGCCTCTGCCCTGTGCCCTCTGGGGCCCTCTCTTCGGGCTGCTGCTTCTACCCGCGCACGCTCCGTATCTGGTCCTCCTCCGAGACCTCGCTGCACTTCGCAATGAGTCTTTTGGCCTCAGGTTTGGCAGGTGCAGCCTGGAGAAAGCACTTCTGTAAAATCGTGCATGTTACATGAAAAGGCCTGAAAGTTCTGGGCAAGTGGTTTTGAGCTGAATGTCAAAGCCTCTGTTACCCGTTCCTGTTACCGTGCAGTGCAGTCAGATTGCCAGTCCCCTTGTCGGAAAGAAGCTTGTTGACCGGGGTCTTGGAGCTCATGAAGTGTGTGTTGAATAAATCCCTGAGCCCACGTACTTTCCTAGGGACTCGGGTTGGAAAGAAAAAGAACTTAACCTGAAGTTTTGCTTAACATTCAGCTAAAGCTTCCGGAATGGGATCTTTAGAAGCTTAGAACATTCTTACTGACTTGCAGTACGACAAAGCAAACCATTACTCTTTAAAGAAGTTGCTCTACTTCTTTTTACATGATGCATTTGAAGAAGTTGGTAGTTGTAGGTCGTAAACTTAGAGAAAAGAAATATAAACTGAAAACACTTCACTGATGATAAAGTTCATCAGGCACAACCTTGAAAATGGCCAGGCTTTGAGTGAGAGCTAGGAGGAGCTTTGCCTATCTATTTGGTGTAACCCTCTGGGTCTGCACTTAAACCATTCAAAAAATGTTTATATTTAATTTCCTGAGGACTAGGAGTTTTGACACCACTTAGTAGCTGCTTTCAGTGTTAAAAAGCGAAAAGTTTTAGCTTGTTAGTAGACACCTACAATTTTGAGCAAGTGAGTTGAAATCTCTTACTCTGCCTTTCTTGGTGACTTAAAATGTTTTCTATTTTTCTAGAATAGCCTATCTCTTTTTGATAATATTTGCATTCAGATTACATCTCCAAAGCTCTGTTGTTGTTTTTTTAAGTATATCTGTATCTTCTCCAGTGTGACCATACCATTTTTAATATGTAGGACTTATCTATACCCAGGAATAATGTACCTAATTCTTGTAAGTGATATTCCTATTAGACCACTGTACTAAAAGGTGTAACTTCATTAGGATGTCTGAAAGAATGTACAGAATCAACTCATTGATCTAGAAACCCTTTGTTTCGCCCACTGGGTAAGAGCTACCCTGAAATGAGGGTGGAAAGAAACAGCTAAGGGTACATGCTGGGGAGAGGTGCCCTGGAAGAGGAAAGGCCACACACAGAGATCGGGGGCGTTATTGACGTCAAGAATCTCGGAGTACAGAATAATCTCAGCTTGTCCATCTCTTGATTTCTTAAGGCTCAACACCAGCATCTTCTCTGACTCACTAACCCCACCACCTTTCCCACTCTGAGTTGACAGAATGCCTTTGGTATATGCAGCTTCAGTAAGTGAAATCACAGAAATGTAAGTTCTAAAATAGAACTTAGAGTGCAAACGGGGTGGGGGAGGGTGGCTGGAATGCCAGCAATTGCATATTTCGTGGCTCTATGAATATGCCGTACATTTTATAGTGCTTATAAAAGTGACAACATACATAGAAGAAAATACATAGAACAGCCGTTCTGTGTAAAATGTTGTTGATTTTTTAGGTGGAGCTTGAAGATAAAGGTTATTTGCAATTTGTGTTTCCTTAAACATATGTAACTATATATAAGTTACACTTCCATGGCAGAAAGGATGGTTGGAACATTTATCCAGGATATATTTCTGTGTTTGTGTCTCATTCAACACATTTTGTAATTGGATAGGTTTTGTGCGTGTGAGAAGGTTGGGATATGACATTTGCGTTGGGAGATTTGAGACTGCTTGAAAATCCAGTCAGTTGATGGGAAACTGCGTTTAGGTTGCCATAGATCGTAGCAGTTGTTTAATCAGTGGGCATTCCATGACCACCTGCTATGTGCCAGGCAACAGTCTAGACATGAAGGTATAGGGATAAGTGAGATATGTTTTTTAGCTCTCTAGCATGGTAGATAGGAAGGACATGTGTGCCAAGAAACAGCACTTAGTCCACAGTGGCTAGCATGTGGAAGGATGGCCAGGAAAGAGACTGGGAAAGTAGAAAGTTAGATGAGATGGGATTGATTGCAAGTTGCATTGGGCCTTGTATACTACACTGATGAATTTGCACTTGGTGCAATATTCGTTGTGGAGTTATAGTCAGGTTAAAAGCAGGAAATGGCATGATCATATATGTTGCAATTGGAACTGACTGGTAGCAGGAGGCTACTTAAAAAGTTATTTCAGTGGTTTTTATGAGATCTGAGAAATACAGGAGGGGATAGTTTGTGAAAAATATTACGTAAATGATCAAAAAGCAGGAGTGGCAGATGAACAAATCACTTGAGGGGTCAAAGGTGGTGGTGGCATGATGCTGTTGACTTTGTCAGCTTAATAAAAGTATACACGCTGAGCAATATAGAGTGCATTTCTATAAAAAAAAAAATTAGCCAGGTGTGGTGGCACATACCTGTAGTCCCAGCTACTTGGGAGGCTGAGGTGGGAGGATTACCTGAGCCTGTGGAGGTCAAGGCTGCAGTGAGCCAGGATTGCAGCATTGCACTTCAGCCTGGGCAACAGAGCGAGACCCCATCAAAAAAGAAAAGAAAAGAAAAAGTACTAACACTCTTAGAGAGGGTTGACAATGGGTAGATGAATTAGGATGTAAGTTACTGGCAGTAGGAGAGAGGTTGTAGGCTAACAGGGATAACTTAAACCCACTTACCTAGGTGTGCTGTGGAAATCACATCCTGTCTCACATATGACTTCATCTGTTTTACAGAAAAAATAGAGGCCATCAAGCGGCAGCTCCTTCATCTTGCTGACAACAACCTCATTCTTGCGTTTGTACCTGTTCTCACTCCCATCGTTAACCTGTTGTGTAGGGCAGCGGTCCCCAACCTTTTTGACACTTTTGGAAGACAATTTTTCCATGGACCAGGGGTGCAGGGGATGGTTTTGGGATGATTCAAGCACATTACATTTATTGTGCACTTTATTTCTATAATTATTACATTGTAATACATAATGAAATAATTATACAACTCACCGTAGTGTAGAATCAGTGGGAGCCCTGAGCTTGTTTTCTTGCAACTAGACAGTCCCATCTGGGGGTGGTGGGAGACAGTGACAGATCATTCAGCATTAGGTTCTCATAAGGAGTGCCTAACCTAGACCCATTGCGTGTGCAGTTCACAGTAGGGTCCACGCTCCTATGAGAATCTAGTGCCGCCACTGATCTGACGGGAGGCGGAGCTCTGATACAGAGTGGCTGTAAATACACGCTGCGCTCCTCCTGCTGTGCCGTCCGGTTCCTGACAGGTAGTTGGGGACCCCAGTAGGGGTCTTTCCTTCCTCCGGAGGTCTGCCTCCCATGCTTGGATCCGGTGCCCTCTCCCTTCTCAGGACCCTGTTATTCCCACCCTCTCCACACCCCTTTCCATTGGCTTTCATACACACTCCTGTTTTGGTTTCTTCTACTGGACCCTCCAACCTCCAGTTAAAGCCCCTCACTCTGTTCCATCTCACAGCCAAATGCTTAAGGGTTGTCTTTACTTTCTCTCCCTTCACTCTTAAATTCACTTCATTCTGGCTTCTGGTCCCATCATTCCACTAAAGACTTCTCACCAAAGTTAACTAGATGGAAGTGGATACGCCAGCCCTTTTCTGCCTCCTTCCCTGACCTCAGTAGACCAAATGCTTCCTTCATTTGCTTTCTGAAACTTGGTGCTTTCTGGTTTTCTTTTGGCTTCTCTGGTCTCCTTGTCTCTTTTGCATAATCATTCTCCTCCTCCTAACCATTAACTGGTGGGTTATGGACTCAGCCACATGTCTGTTCCTTTTCACATGCTGTGCACTTTTCCCCAGGTGACCCACTTCATGCAGCTTCAGTGACCACGTGTAGACAGGTGAAAGGTTCATACTTCTGGCCCAGATATCTTCGATCTGCAACCTCATGTGCACAGCACCTTGACATCTCTTCTTGGCCATCTCTGTGGCACCTCAAACTCGGCGTATTTAAAACTGAATTTGTGGGGGGAAGATGAAAAAACACAACCTCCTCTCAAACCTAGCTCTCTTCTGGTATTACCTATCTCAGGTAATACTAGACCTGAGGTCATCCATCCATCTGGTTGTGAGTCAGAAAACCAGGAGTCGTCCTTGATAACACCTCTCTCCTTCACATTCTTCAAATCCAATCTGTTACTAAGCCTTAGGATCTCACTTCCCAAATATCTCTGAAATTTGTCTACTTCTCTCCATCTCCTCTTTTCCCACTTTCTGACTCATCGTTATCTTTGGCCATTATAATCTAGTGGCTTCTTACTATAGTCCCCTGGCATCCATTCTTGCCTTTTTCTAGTCCATGTTCTACATCACAGGCAGGGTGCCCTTTTCAAAACGCATCTCGGTGCTTTTATGTAACAGGTGCTTGTATGTAATCAGACTGCCACCTATGTACACCATGAAGACATGAGAAAGCAT